AAGAGGGATCCAGAGGAGACTGCTATGGGTTTCTGTCTGGGGTAATAAAATTTTTCTGAAATTTGATAGTGAAGATTGATGCCCATATTTCTTAATATACTTAAAACCACTTAAAAAAGTTATGTTTTTATAGTATTCAAAATTCTCTTTCAGGTTGTGATATATATCTTGAGAAAGTTATTTAAAAAATAAAAGAGGGGTCAGCTATGGCCAGATTGTTAAGGTGGCTGAGTCCCATGTAACCTATTGTGTGGTTCAAGCCCCAAACCTGGTGACTTGAAAAACATACTGGAGGGGTGGGGTAGGAGGTGGCATCATGATTAAGGTGTTGTACTCCCAGATGGCTTACCACAATCAAGGTGTGTATGTGTGCGTGTGTGATACATGCCCAAAATCCTGAGAGGACAATGAAGAAGAAGCAATTGCAGTATGGGCAACCCCTTTGGGGAATTTCTCACTTTCCCTCTTTTGGTCTATCCCTGGAGAGTGCATGTGTCCTATGGCAAAAACCTAAAAGAAATTTTAAAAAAGGAAACAAAATACATGTGTGTGTGTGTGTGTGCGTGCGTGTGTGTGTGTGTGTGTGTGTCTGCCTAAAAAAATGTCAAGAGGAGAGAGATGGTGAAGACATTGTGGCATGACCGTTTCCCATGAGAGGTGACTTTCCACTTTCTCTCTCACTGACTCTCTCCAATAAGCACATATGTCTTCTGGCAAATTGAAAAATAAAATAAAATAAACAAAAGACAGAAATCTTTTAGAAGGCAAGTAAAGACACATCAGTGTATTATCAGCTACTTCTTTGCTATTAACAAACAAGCAAGCCTTCAAACAGCTCACAGGAAATGCATATATTATGAAAAAACTATGGGTGGATTTCAATCTTTTTCTGCACCAAAAAAACCTCGTACTTTAACTCCATTTTTCCACAAACTTTTTGAAATCCCCTTGTGTGGTGAGGACAGGAATTCAGAGGTATTCTGTTCTCAAGGAACTACTTTGCTTCAGAATGGTTGGTAAGTGAATTTCTATAATGATTTTGTATTTTTGTCCTTCAAAAAAGAAAGAAAAAGGAAGGAAAAAAGAAATGTTCTTAGTTTAAAAGCCATTCCCATATCACAGCAGCTGTCTGCAGCACAATGCATTCTTCCAAGTCTTTGACATATAGGACAATGCTTTATTTATAACAAAGCAAACCAAAAGAATGGGCCCATTGCCAAGACCTTGGGATGCACAACAAATGAAAATCATCTTGGTTCTGTTTCCAACATGGCTGCACATATTTTTTGTTTCTTAGTTCAAGGTCACTCCTAAGGGAAAGCCACCTGCCCATTCTAATAAGACTCTGCTTTATGCTCCCCCAAACTCTAAATGATTATAGCAGTAATAGAATTCAGAATCAAAAGAAACCACATAAGTCATCTTCTAAGCAAGGAAAAGTGTAATTACCAAGAAGACAGTAAAGCCAAATTTTATTTCCATTTATTGAAGGCTTGATTTCCTAACCCTCCACAAGTCATTGATTCTCCTTCTTCTTTTTTTTTTTTCTAGAGAAATGTTTTGCTACAGGGAGCATGCACTTTCCAGAGAGACAGAGAGATAGGAAGTGAGAAATCAGCCCCGAGGAGAGATGGCCACACCACAGTCCCTTCTCCTCCATTTTCCTCTTGGGATTTTGGGCACACATGCACACACATCTGTTGTGAGTTTCAAGCTACCAGATCTGGGACTTGAATGGCAGTCGACCATGTGGGAGTCCAGTGACATAACCATTCTACCATCTGCTGGTCTCAAGTAATTGATTCTTCTTGTTTATTCTTTTTTATGTCTTCCTTCTACTCTCCATTTTTACTGCATATACCTTGGTCTAGACCATCATTTCTCCTTCCCCTGAACCCATCACTTTCTAACTGATTTCCCTGCCTTGATTCTTGAACCTGTTAATCTCCCACATACCCTTCTGTCATCTTCCTAAAACGGATTTGACTGTGTCATTCTCTTGCTCATGTGACATCTTTTTGCCTTCACAATCAAAGTTATATTTCTCTGTAAGTCACTAGAGATTCCATGGTCTGATCTAGTGCTTAGCAATATAAGAGGCTCAAAAATTTTGGTGGACTAAATACCTCAATAGAAAGAGTCATGTGTCACCAGAATCTCTTGAAAAGTAAAGGTATAATGGGAAGAGAAATAGGAGAGGTAAGCGGGGGCCTGATATTGGACATAGAAGGTCATGATCACATTTTGGGCTTTCTTCCTTTTGTCATGGTCATTCATTGGAAGGTTTTATGAAAGGAAATGGTTCAATAGAATTCAGATCTTTTGTGTTTTGCTAAATCTTTACTATACTCTGATGATGAGAGTGGAAGGGTAAATTGAGGCTGAATTCAGAGTCTGGTGCAAGGTCCTATGATGTGTATGTGGGAGGGTAGGTTGGAAATTGAGGGAGTCGTCTATCCAGTGCTGGGTCATATACTATGATCCATTGAGACTGTGGACACAGAGCAGAAACACGTTCAGAGTACTCCAGCCTTGGGACGAAGCTATGACCAAAGCTTATGTTCCTTTACATTTCTTTCCAGGTTAGGGGTCCTAGGAACTCCTAGCATTCTACCTACAAACTTAAAATTCTGAATTCAGGACTGCAGTATATAAAACCAGGAAAGGAGAAGTTGGTTTTAGAAGTCCAAGTAGTGAAAAGACCATGACCCTTGGAGGCCTCTAGATGTGGTTGACTGGCCAAAATGTGCAAAGTTCCTAAGCCTCTGCTTGCTTATCTGGGAGAGCAGCCTGGTAAAAGTAACCATTCAGTCTATCTTCAAGGGTGTCAGAATCACCCTGGAAGCTCCTGTTAAAGAACTTTAAAGTGGATGCAAGATCTGTCTTTGCTCATTACTTCCATCCATCATGACACCTGAATGTGAGAAACTGATGTATCTCTTAAGGTACTGTAAGGTTTAAACAAAATGTGAACTGGGTTACCAGGAACATGTTGAATATCCAATACATGTTAATTTCCTTTTTCCTTTTCCTACATACTGACCACCCTAAGGAGTTGTTATATTTTTTCTACTGGAAGATTTTGATTCAATCTCCTACCTCCTAACACAAAACTATAGCTCTAGGTGGACAGAAGACTTTTCCTGTTGCTCTTCCACCTTCTCTTTCCTGAAGCCAGAGTAGTCTGTGGGCACAGGGCCTGGTCAGGTGCGAGAAGCATCCAGGATTGCTAGGGAGGCCCCTTGTGCTGGCTGTCCACTTGATCGAATTTTTCCTTATTGGCCACTCTATGCTCTCTAGTGACTAACCCCTGCCCCCTACAATCATCTGGGAGTTCTGAAAAATACTGCTGCCTGGGTCCTAGCCCTGGGGATTCTGACTTAATTAGCCTATGGCTGGGCTGGGGTACTGGGAGGTATTTTAGGCTCCCAGGAGATTCTAATGTGCAGCCCAGGGTGGGAACCACTGCCCTGAATGATGTCCCTCAGGAAACCATGAGGCCCCAGACACAAATACAGACCTCGGTAGGAATGGTCAGTCACACCCTCGACATTTAGATGAGTTTCCACTTGCCTAAAGAATGGAAAAGAGACGATTGATTCATAAAACCTCCATGTCGCCACGAGATCAATCCTGTTGGGGTTGGTAGCATAATACCTCCAGGCAGCCTGGGAAGGAGAAAAGAGAGGCAGATATGCCCTGGTGTCACCTGAGAATTTCACACAAAATCCTACACTATTAAAACAATAGTAAGCCCTCCCCACCCCCATGAGTTTGAATGTGCATTTAGTCAATGGTCAGGGAAGCCAAGACTCTTAGCTTTCTCTAACTCCTTTGGGAGGAAAAACTCCCTTGATCCCATCACCTCAGAGCTATAATTGTTATTGTGAGGCATGGGACCACAGGGAAATGAATTGTAGCAGAAGTAAAGAAGAGGTTTCTGGGCATAAAATCACAGAAAGAATCAGGACCTACTCTTTCCAGAAGATTCTCTGTGACTTCTCTCAGACAGGAAAGTAAACATGGTCTTTTGTACTATTTCTGGGTACAAGATAGAGCCTGAGAGATAACGTTTTGATACTAATCTACTAGAACTCTTGGGATGCTCTGATGATTTGGGGTTTAGGAGGACAATGGGATAATGGAGACTAGGACTGACCTAAAAACTGCAATAAGTAGGATGCCATCATACATCATCCTGTGTTAGACACACAGATCCACAGAGACACTCATCACAACTGGACACAAGTTCATAAGTAGGTGATCATACTCTGAACATTCCAGTAACTATAGCTAGGATACTGTACTTTCCTGTTCTCTGTGCTCCCATGCTCCCAACAGCATATAAAATCATAACGCAGAAACACTTGAAGAGGAAGTATTTCTACTTTTTTTTAAAACCATCTCTTACTACCCCCCTCAAGCCCCAGCCAATGATGGGTAGTCAATGGGGATGAAGGGCCAGCAGGTGTCCAACCACCACCAATCTGTTATTGTCTACTACGCAGGACAAATGGATGAAGTGATGCAGTACATTGTATATGTTCTTGGCTTCTGGGTTCTCTATCCTTGCCAGAAGTGAGGAGCCAGTTTTCCTTCAAGCTGATTGGCTAAGCACCTGAACTTTGGGATGACTCTTCTTGATAGGTCTCTAAGTCAAGCTGGAGTGGGCTATAAAGAAGCCTAGTATGGGATCAGCAGTTAGCGTAATGGCTATGTCGCTGGACTCCCACGTAGTCGACTGTGGTTCGTGTCCTGGACCCGGTGGCTTAAAACTCACACCGGGTGCGTGTGCGTGCGTACCCAAGATCCCGAGAGGAGAATGGAGAAGAAGGGATTGCAGCATGGCCATGCCCCCTGGGGGGTGATTTCTCGCTTTCTGTCTCTCTGTCTCTCTCTGTCTGTCTGGCGAGCGCACGCTCCCTATAGCGAAAAACTCTCCAAAAAAAAAAAAAAAGCCTAGTATGATCCCAGGTTCAGGTCAGATTCGGATTCTCTACACCAACATTATCAGTACAAGCTGATGGGTTGATCCCTGAGACCTGTGTCTATTTCTTGCTTGGCTTGGAACTTGGATGGGAGAGTGATAGGGCTATCTTTCAGTATCCACAGAGACAGGTCATATAGATAACCATGGAGATGTCCATAGCTATGTGCTCCTGCCTTGGCTTGTGCACACACACACACACACACACACACACACACACAGACACACAGATCTCAGTCCTGTTCCAGTTCATTCCCAGCAGACAGACCTGAATGAGCTCAGCAGCTGGCTTCCTCCTTTTCTCGAAGTGCTTCTGACGGTGTTGTTCCTGCACCTTGAGTGCCAGCCCTGACCCCAGGATGCCCTGTCAGAGAAGTCAGGCATACAGTCAGCCTCTCCCCAGACTCTCCCAGCATCTCAGCCCCACTGCTGGGCAGCGGGTGTTGCAAGGCTCAATGGTGAGTAGATGTTTGGAGGGATTGCTCTTGGTGAGGCTCCCCTCTCTTGGGATTTTGGGCACACACACACACACACACACACACACACACACAGACACACAGATCTCAGTCCTGTTCCAGTTCATTCCCAGCAGACAGACCTGAATGAGCTCAGCAGCTGGCTTCCTCCTTTTCTCGAAGTGCTTCTGACGGTGTTGTTCCTGCACCTTGAGTGCCAGCCCTGACCCCAGGATGCCCTGTCAGAGAAGTCAGGCATACAGTCAGCCTCTCCCCAGACTCTCCCAGCATCTCAGCCCCACTGCTGGGCAGCGGGTGTTGCAAGGCTCAATGGTGAGTAGATGTTTGGAGGGATTGCTCTTGGTGAGGTAAAGCAGCACAGGCCAGCAGAGAGGCAGGAACATCATGGTCAAGGGATGGCCAGTGAGTAGTTAGGACTCAGAATTTAGAATGTGAAGGGATGGAAGGTGAAGTTGGAAAGCCAAGCCGGGCCAGATGGTGAGGGATTCTGTGTGGCATGTAGGGATGTTGCATGTTGGAGGTACTTACCGCTGGAAGGGCAAAAAATGAGACACCAATTAAGGAAAAAGTGGCAGCAATCAGACGGCCTTCCCACGTTTTGGGTGTCTTATCTCCATAGCCAATGGTGGCCAATGTGATCTGAAAAGAGAAGAGTCCAGACATGGAATGCCTCAGAAAGAGGGAAGTCAGTGACATGTCGATGAATATTACTGGTAAGCCTCTGTCCCAGCATTGGGCACTGTTCCAGTTTATAATGTGATTCCATGGGAGAAAAGGCACCAAGTGACAATTAACTTCTGTTGGAACCTTGAGATTTGTTTATAGGTTAGAAATTTTCTACCTCTAGTGAACCCATCAATAAATGTTTCAATAATTGCAAACGAGTATATGTGCTCTTTCATTCAAGTGTATATATACTTGAAAATGTATGAATTAATGTATAGATGCATTTTCAAATATATGTGTGGCTGTGAGTGTATTCATATGCACTATGTATATATGTGTGCATGTCTAATGTATGTGCATGTATGGTTCCTAGTATGAGCAGTACATTCCCATGTGTTTGCATGTCTATGTTTTCAGTGTACATGTACAACTCTGCATGTGGAAGGCAAGATAAAAGAGCAGTGAATAGTGTGGTCTCTGGAGCCTGAATGACTTTGAATCCCAGGTCATCCACTTATTGACTGAGAGACTGAATTACTTAGCCTCTTTAGGCCTCCGTTTCCCCATTTTAAAAAAAGGGGTTAAAAGATGTTTGAGTTTAAAATATGTTACTAAATGTAAAGTGTTTGGAGCAAAGTTAGCCTTCAGTAAATGGTAGCTTCGGTGCTATATGTCATGGTGGAGCTATGTGTCTTTCGTGTTTCTTCAGGTCTGTGTGCATGTGCATATATCTGCCAGTGTGTCTGTTGTACATACATGGCTTAGCTGATAACAAACTTTAGCTAACCAGGTAAGGTTCCTAAGTGGACATGGAACCAGACAGTTCTAAGCCCAGACTTCTTTTTGTTTTTTGGAGAGGTTTTTGCCATAGGGAGCATGAGCTTGCCAGAAGGACAGAGAGAGACAGAGAGACAGAAAGCGAGAAATCACTCCCCAGGGGGGATGGCCACGCCACAATCCCTTCTCCTCCATTCTCCTCTCGAGATCTTGGGCATGCACTCACATGTGCCCGGCGTGAGTTTTAAGCCACCGGGTCTGGGACGCGAACCATGGTCGACTACATGGGAGTCCAGCGACATAGCCATTACACTAACTGCTGGTCCCAAGTCCAGACTTCTTATAAACACTACAGAAAGCGCATCTGAAGTGTATGCTCTCTGGGGAGTCTCCAGCAGCAGGATCAGAGATGGAGAGAACCTCACTCTAACCTGTGACTACAGAGTGCAGCTGTCCGACTGAGTGTGGCCGTGCCTTTCCTGTGTGGCCTGCCTCTAACAGTCAATCCCCAGAGGGTTGGCCTTTAAGGTGGTGACTCACCAGGCCCCACCAAAGGGCATCTGCATAGGTCTCAAATTCCTCTTTCATCTCCTCTCCTTGTGCATCCACCTCTGGCACGTCTTTCTCAACCAGGTAGACAAGAAATGAAGAAAGGATAAGCGTCAGGAAACCAATGTACCAGGCGGTGATGAGTTCCTGGAAGAGTGAGAGGTGGACATGGGAGGTAGTCACTGGGTAGGCGATGGAGCCAGATATGCTGGAGCTGGAGTCCAGGTTCACCAGCTCTGTGACCATCAGCAAGTTACTCACCTTCTCTGATCCTCGCCTCCCATTATTATAAAATGGGATCAACAACAGGGTCATTATTTCCATCATTAATTATCAGAACAAGTATATGACTCTAGGAAGGGAGGAAGACTTATGACTCAGGGTGACTTTGATATCACAGTTCAAGAGGCTTAAGGGAAGGTAAAAAGGCAGGAGAAACTAGCTACCAGGACTCAGAAGATGGGATTCTATGCAGGACTGTGCGGAACAAGGACAAAGCTCAGTACCAGTGGGCAATAAAGAGCAAGGGAGGGCTAGCACGGCCTCGTGGACAGGCGCTCAGCCCTGCCCCAGATTACTGTGTGACCCAGGTTCATCATTCCTTTCTCCCAGCCTTGAGATCCTCATTTTTAAAAAGAAGAAATTGGATCCTAGAGTTCCTGAAAGCACCACTGGTAGAATGCAGATAAATAATTTTAATGTGAAATAGTCATATATTGATTTAGAACACATGAGAGGTGAGTATAAACAACACATAAAACCTGTAATTTCATGATATCGTCATATGCTAGACTAGAACACATGGCTACATAAGCAAGAGTTAAGCTGATTTAAAGAAAATTTTAAGTAATACTAGGGAGGATACAGAGAGAGGACAAAGACCAGTATATCATTGAACTTTGAGAAACCCGAATCAAGACAATATCTAATTCTCTTTCCAACCCCAGCTTTCTCCATTTCTCTTATTCTGTCTGAATTTCAAGGTTAATAATGACAGGTTGGGCAAGAAGAAAGTCATAGTTAATGGAGAACTCAATCTGCAAATTACGCTTGTTGAGTCACATAGAGAACAAAGTTGCTCATATCAATATCCTTCCAACATCTGACTGCCTCCGGCCAGTCAGCTGACCTTCTGGGTCAATAGAATCTGATGGGGTTCCATCTTCCCTCCCTTTGTGCATTGGCTTACATGGGTCCTGCTTCCTAAGCTGCCCTTCCCTGATGGGACCAAACAAAAAGCATTGAGGTGTCATTAGGCTCATGTTACCTCCATTCTGAAATTTTCTGCTCATTCATTTTGAGATCTAGTTCAGTCGACATTGCTTTGTGGCTTCCTCATTTTCTAAACAGACTTCTCTATGTCTCAAACACTTTATTATACTCATTTGCTTTTAGCTCTGGCCCTCCCCACAGCATTCTGTGTACCTCGCAGCCATGGGAGTTCACTTCTGGCAGAGAGAGGTGAGCTTAGATGGCTGGCACAACTGGCCACTCTCTTTCACAAGGGTCTGCCTGGCATGGAGTTTGAGAAGGGAAAGGTGCATTGCATAGGCTCTCTGTGACTCTCCGGGCATGAGCTCTTTCCTTGTGGAGTGCGGGCCTCATGTTTATATGTTGTTTTATACTCTCTGGACTCAAAGTGCAAGTCAGAAATCTCATCTGGCATTTAATTAAAGAAGCAGCTATCTGTTCAGTCGTGCACAGAAAATTGGCTGCGTTGGATTATTAAGAGATGGAATAATGGCTGCCAATGAGGAGTGAAAATGGGTCCCCATTCTGTGCTTCGAAGTCATTCAAAAGGCTATTTAAGGCAATGCTGGCTTCACACAATTCTTGCCAGCAGCTTCTCTGATATCTATGGGCTCCTCCACGGCTGCCGGGTTGGGCCCTGTTAGAGTAGGAAAGTCAGGGGAACAAATCCCTCCCAGGCCTTTAAGTACACCAGGCTCCCTCTTTCCTGCCTTTGGGATGCCTGGCCTCATATTCAAAATGGAGGAGGCCCAGCCAGTACACCTCAGACACCATGCGAACAAATTGTTCACTTGGGTGAAAAAGCACCAGGGGGACCAGCAGTTGGCATAATGGCTATGTTGCTGGACTCCTATGTAGTCGACTGCGCTTAGAGTCCTGGACCTGGTGGCTTAAACTCATGCCAGACACGTGTGTGTGCATGCCCAAGATCCTGAGAGGAGAATGGAGGAAAACGGGATTGTGGCATGGCCATCTTCCTGGGGGATGATTTCTTGCTTTCTGTCTCTCTGTCTCTCCCTATCTTTCTGGTGAGCACGCATGCCCTATAGCAAAAATCTCTTAAAAAATCAGGCATTTTATGTCTTTATTTTATTTTCTTTGTAAATCTATTTGTATAGTTTGTGAAGAAGAGCATCCTTGAAATACGAAACACTCCTGTTAATGAGCACCTACTATTTACTGAGCACTTAGCTGCACCTTTTCTCATGTGAGCAACCAGGAGGACTCACACTTCATCATTGAGGAAGCTTGTGAAAACTGAGGGACATCCTCAAGGTCTCACAGCTGGAAGATAGCAGAGCTGAAGTTTGAACCAAGTTGTTACCTGGATCCTAAGTTTCTATTTCCTTCCTATGAGATGCCATCCCACAGGAAGTTACCCAAATGTATCTGGGTGCATATCAGAACTATCACAACTAGGAACCAGCTCTGGGGCTATGTGATGGAGGTGGTATGGTTACATTAATACCCATAAACAAACAAACCAAAAACTCTGTGCTCCTTGAGGTCAAATTGCACCAGGCTCACTGCCTCACATCCAGATTCCCAGAAGCAGAGCCTGAGACAGGGATTTGGGCATATGTGATTTATTTGCAACAGTCCAGTTCAGAAGCCCATGTTCAGTGATGGCTACTGACCATGACTGTGCTCACTTCTCCAAAAAAGATTAGAATCTAGAAGGGGTGGGACTCAGCTCATTCTCCTTCCAGAGATCCACGTGGTTGAGCATGCATGGAGCCCATGCAACCAGAGCCCAGCTTATCTGGGTGTGTGGTACTCCCTGTTTGTTTCCTACTGTTAACCCAAGCCTTTATGGGATTATTTGCATGGGATTATTGAGGAAGTGGCCACAGGGTTACCAGCAGAGAGGATCTGGTGGGCATAAACAGCAACCATTGCACCCACATGCTTGGCGCAAGATGTAGTCTTGGTGAGGAAGGCAGTCCTGACTTTATACACCTAAAGATCACCTGCCCCAGGGGTGTCATCTTCTGACATCTCCTGCCCTGGTCTGCCAGGCTTTTTTTCCCCACCTAAGCTGAGACATAGGGGTTTTCCTTTCTTCCTCTAGGGTCCAGCTAAAGCAAATAGTTTAAATGAGGTGGTACAAAAGGCTTGGGTTAACAGTAGGAAACAAACATAGGGAGTACCACACACCCAGATAAGCTGGGCTCTGGTTGCATGGGCTCCATGCATGCTCAACCACGTGGATCTCTGGAAGGAGAATGAGCTGAGTCCCACCCCTTCTAGATTCTAATCTTTTTTGGAGAAGTGAGCACAGTCATGGTCAGTAGCCATCACTGAACATGGGCTTCTGAACTGGACTGTTGGGATTAGTGCTTCTCTGGGTGACTCTGGGCAGGTTACTTTCTCTTCCTGTGTCTGCTTTCTTATCTGTGTAATAAAGTAACAATAGTGCCCAGGATAATGGAGTGAGCTAGTCTGTGTCAACACTAGGTTTCAGGCACTGTGCTTTTGCTTTACACCAACTATAGCAATGGAACAATTCCTATGAGCTGGGCACGTTCTAAGAAATATGAATTATCACATATCAATTCACTTCATTCTCGCAATAACTCTGAGATAAATGGATATTCTTGTTTTATAAATACAGAAACCAAAATCCAGAGAGGTTACAGAAAAGAAAAAACATCTCAACATCACTCAGGCAGAGTTTGGACTTAAACCTGTCTGTGTTACTCCTGAACTTTTCCCTCCCACCACTTGCTGGCTTGCATAAGCTTGTTTCATCCTCTCAACAATTGGGAGGTATAGGCATTATTTTAGAAATGAGGAAACTCAGAACTCAAGAATGGTGAGTAATTTGCCTATGGTGGGATTCACATCCAAGTCCAGGTTTATCTATTTCTGCTCCTCGTGTACTATGTGCTTACACCCTTCTCACCGCCTTCTTCCTCTCCTCCTCCTCTTCCCTTTCCTATTACCATCATCAGTAGTGGCAAAACAACAACTCTCTGGTGACGCTGTAAAGGAGAGGATGCCATGGGAGGGCACAGTGAGCAAGAAGCCCACTGGGATACCTGGCGTCTCCATGGCACTTACTTTGCTATGGGCGCAGATGGCTGAGCCCAAGAGCTTCCAGGTGCCACCCCTCCGGTCCATCCGCAGCATGCGTAGGATCTGCAAGAAGCGCAGGCTTCGCAGGGAGGTGGCCAGGACATTGCCCTGGTTTCCCACGGCAACCACTGGCACAGAGGCAATCAGCACAAAGATGTCTGGGAAAGAGGACAGAGAGAGAAGCAGGGGAGAAGAAAAAGATGGTCAGGAGAAGGCAGAGCATCATCACAGGTGCTGTTTACTGGCAGATGAACATGTGCCAAGCAATGGACCAATCTAAGCATTGTTGTGTTGAGTCTTGACATCAACTGCACATGGTAACTGGGACTAGTCTCCTGTGGCTGACGAGGAAGCAGAAACTCTGAGTATGAATTCATTCCTAGGGCCATACAGCTGAAACTGGTTGATTTAGGACTAGGCACGTGCTGTGGACTCCAGTGCTGGCTATGAACCCCATAGCAGTGATTTCTCAATGCCCTCCCATGTGGCCCTTAAGATTTATTCTCAGATGGGGAGGTAATCAGGGGCTGCTCAGGCTATAGAGGTGAAGCATGAATCTCAGACACTATTTTAATGTGTTTTTCCCCTAAAAGCATCATCTGAGACAGGAACATGGGTACAGGTGGTTTACTGGGAGATGATCCTAGGAAGCAGAAGTGATGGGAAAGAGAGAGAGAAGGAGAAGAAAACTACCAATGTAAAGGGTTGTAAGTTTGCTGCTGGGTCCTTTGAGCTGAAGGCAGAACTCTTCCCAAGAGCATGTTTGAAAGAAGGACTGAACACCTTCCTTTAGCTCTTGTCTCTGGAACAGTTGAGAGTTACCTCGGAGGTGGTTAACATCCCTGCACTTCTGGTCCATGGTGATCTAGTGATCTCCCTAAACTTCAATGCAAGCTATGATCAGAGGTGGGCCAAGGGGACGAGACACTTTGAAATGGCCATTTACTAATGGAGTCAAGTAATCTAGTATAAAGCAGAGGAAGTGTTCTTTTCCCTATTCTTTTCATTGGTACCTGACACCCATTCTAATGATATTCTCAATCCTGAAGTCAGCTAGCAAGTAAAAATGACCCCAAGGTCAAGTAAACAGGTTTTGCAATTCTTGAAGCCTTTAATATGCGTTATGGCTCTCAATAAACGAAGAACAGGCTTTCCCAAAAGATTTTGACCATAGAACATTTTTCCTCCAAGAGAATTAGGGTTTCAAGGAATGCACTTACATATTTGTCTTCTAGACAAATTTGAGCTCTTTAAAGCCCTCTGTGCCTTGGCCTCTGAGAACCTTCCAGAAGCATGTGTGGTTCGCTGAGCACAGTGCTCTCTCACATCTCCACATGTGTGAATGTTCTGGTTTTTCTGCTTGGAATATACTCCTCAGTTCATATCTAGGTATGTTTGCCAAGAGAGCTAGTGTATTTTTCTACCTTATCAAAATGTCTTCCAGGCAGGCCTGAAAAAAGGGTCAAAATCTGGATACTGATATGTCTGCAGTGTTGGTCAGGCTTTTCAGTTAATCTTTGCAGAGCTATCTACAAACAGTGTTAACAGAGAAAACAAAACCCAGAAGTGTGGTAAACACACACACATTATGATGCTCTCAGAGGACAGCAGATCTGGCCCAGATGGACCCATCCACACCCAAAAGATCTGAGACTGCCTCGAATAGGAAGGCCATGCTGTTCTTGGATGTAATAACCACCCTGTTGTTGAACACATGGTTAAAAGCAACATTTCCTACAATGATCACATTATGGGAAGAGTCAAGATGGAGAGAGTGAAA